GTTGACTCTGTTTTGAATTATTTATCAATATTTTCTGTTGCATTTCTATTGAGAAATAAGGGGGTGGAATCTACTCAAATAGGATTAGATTCTAATCTTTCCGTTATTACTCTTTTCAGACTTTATTTAATTATTTTCACTTTTGTAATTTGGCTATTAATATGCCTTTGGCCACTTGAATAAGATATCGAACATCACAAAATGATTTTCCCTAAACTGAAGATTCTCCTGGGTCTATTAGAGAGTGTAGCGAGATACTTACTACGTTTTCTAGTGGAAGATATTCTCTTTTCCTTTCAATCAGTAATTTTTAGATTCAGGGTCTTAGCAATTGATCTACATGATGCAAAAACGACATGTAGTGCTAAACAAAATAAGATTAACTGATTGTATTTGGATTTATATTACATACATTTAGAATATTTATAAAGGATTAATATAATTTTTGATCCTTCAAGTTTGTTCTCATTTTGGTTTTAGTTCTTTAAGTTTCAAACCATAGGATTTGGTCCTTTAATGGGTAAAATGGTCCAAGTTTATATTGAATTATAGGGACAAATATTTTAAATGAAAAAAAACTTGAGGGACCAATACTTATGGTTTAAAACTAGAGGGACCAAAACCAAAATGAGGATAAACTTGAAAGATCAAAGTTTATATTAACCCCTACATAAACTAATAAGCATAGCGATACGTGTGCATAAAAATTATCAAATCTTGGTTTAAATCTGAATAAAAGATTTATACAAAAAAATTAATCTCCTTGATCCCCAAAATCTTAACTTCGTCACATCCTACAACTTAATCCCCTAACTATGATTCGGTGCAACTCAATTCCTAAATCTTTAACCCATTTAAAAGCTAGTCCCTTTTTTTGTATATAACAAATTAATTTTACATGGGAAAAGAGATGATTGACATACTGAAAAAATACTAACGTGTGTTTCAAATAAGCTCCACATGGCTCCTAAAGTAAATTGGTCATCTTCCTTAAACTCCCCGGTCCACATGAAATGACCGATTTGCTTTGCCAAGTTTAACTCCAAGTTTGTCAAATACCTACAAACCTAGGCCTTGATGGAAAGAAATAATTTACGAATTAATTTAACTCTAAGTTTGTCAATGTTTACAAGTGATAATATCCAAAAAAAAATTTAGATCAAAATTTAACATTTTATATTTAATTATTTATTTCTTAGGTAAAATTATAACAATAATTTTATAAATTATTTAATCTAAATTATTAAAATTATCATCGAACAGTGATGGAAAGGAATAAAGGGCAATAAAATGGAGACATCAAGCTACCATGTTAGGAAGGAGGATTGGATAAGGTCTACTTACTTTCTCCGTCTTTATTCTTGTTAAGATATTCTATTAATATTTTATTGATATGATTTGATTTATTTGATTTATATTCATCTCTTGATTTATTATTAGGATTTATTATTTTATATATATATAGATGTACTCATCTCATTCTAAAATATACAAGCAATATTCATCTCCAATATTTTCTCTCTTTCTCTATTCTAACATGGTATCAGAGCCCTAACCTTTTAGACACCTACCTTTGTTCGACGTGTCATCATGCACGTGCTTTTATCCCATTTGGTTCTGTCCAGATTTGCACTACTCCACATCCTTTCTACCGCCATCTTTTATTGTGTGTATTTACTATAGAAAAGTCTAAGGTTGCCTATCCTGTCTCTATTATCTTGAATGGCTCCAACTACTGCCTATGATTGGAGAGTATACGTGGTTTTTTAAAAGGGCATAAACTATGGCGTTATGTTACTGTTGATATTCGTTTTCCTATTTGCAAAGCTGCTAAGATTGATTTGAAATTCAATGACCGACTTAATGAGTGAGATAGCAAAAATAATCAAATTATCATATGGTTTTGAAGTACCTCAATTTCTAGCATAAATCAACAATTTGGCTGCTTTAAGAGCGCAAAAAAGGTATGGAACCACCTTACTAATTGCTATACATCATCTGATTTGTCTAATCAGTTTCAATTGCATAAAAATCTCAGTGTCTTGAAGCAAGAAAAGGGTCAGTCCCTATATGAGTTTTTGGCTAAGATTAAATCTATCTAGGATCAATTAGCCTACTCAGAACCTAGTTTCAAGAATGAGGAAGATGCACAGGATTTCTTTCAGTACCATGATCAGCTTCATATTATTCAATTCTTGATGTCTCTCACGAATGATTTTGAGCCTGTTCGAGCATCCCTACTTCACCAAAGGCCACTCCTGACTCTTAAGGATGCTCTTCCTTGGCTTTGCTCCAAATAAACTCAATTGGGACTTTTACAGCATACTCCTGAAATGGTTTTTGCTGCCATCAGAAGATCCTCTAAATCTTGTCATCGTTACCCTCAATCTGATCACTCCTTTGATCAATGTCCCTATATTGAGTGCTGAACCTATCAAAAGAAGGGACATATAGTCGCAAATTGTCATACCATGTTCTGTTGATACTGTAAAAAGACTAGACATCTTATTGATCGATGCCCTACTCGTCCTCTTAAGTATGATCAGGGAAGATCAACAAGGCCTAGTTCCTTTTTCAAGCTTGCGTTATCTACCACTGCTACTGATTCTACCGTAGAATCTTCCACTGCAAATCTTGAGGCTTTACCTCACAAGTTTATCCCTAATACTTCCAGTCCACCTGCTACCTTAGCCACCCCTCAAGTACTTCATAGTTCTTTGACTCTGGTTTGTTACAACCATATGACTAGTTAGGAAATTTTTTTCTTCTATGTCAAAAAATACTACTACTCATCCTATACATATTGTTGACAACTCTCAAATGCTTGTTGGTCATATTGGTACTATTTCTTTGCCCTTCTTATCCATTCATGAGACTTACTTCGTCTCTGCTATTAGTTTTAATCTTCTTTCTGTTGGACAATTTGTTGATATGGGTTATAATGTCTTATTTACCAAAAGTGGGTGTGTTATGATGGATTCTTAAACAACACAAGTCATCGGGAGTGGGTGTAAGGTTAGCCATCTGTTTAAGTTCAACTCACTGTATCTCCCTGAAGTCACTTCTCCCAAATCTTGTGCTGCTACTACATCCTTGTCCCTCGATTTATGGCATCGCCGTCTTGCTCGTCGCTCCTTAAATAAACTTCGTCCTTTAATTTCTAGTGATCTCTCAGGTCAAGTCAAGAATGAGTCTTTACATTGTATTTCATGTCAAACTACCAAACAACCTGATTTATCATTTAATAAAAATGACCCTATTGTTGATTCCATTTTTGATTTGGTTCATTCGGACATTTGGGTTCCTGCGCCTACTCCTTCTATGGGAGGATCTCAATACTTTGTGATTTTTGTTGATGATCATTCGCGCTATACTTGGATATATCTTATGAAAAACCAATTCAAATTACCTGATATTTATATTAAATTTGCTACTATGATTCAAACTCAGTTCTTAAAAATTATTGAAGTCTTCTGCTATGATAATGCTTTAGAATACCGGGATTCTAAATTGCTTAAATTTCTTGATGATCAGGGAACCATCTCTCAGTACTCTTATCCTTATACCTCTCAGCAAAATGGTAAGGTTGAATGTAAACACCGCCATATCCTTGATTCTGTCATATCCTTACTTATTTCCTCTTCCCGTCCTATACGTTTCTGGGGTGAAGTAGTATTGACTGATGTTTACTACATTAATAGAGTTCCTATGCCAATTATTGGTAACATCTCTCCTTTTGAGCGTCTTCATGATACACCTCCTAACTATAGTCTTCTAAAAGTCTTTGCTTTGCGTCGATTTTGTTCTTCTTCCATTCATGAGACCACCAAATTATAAGCTCATGCTCGTGTTTGTTGCTTCCTTGGTTATGATCCAGAATATAAGGGTTATCGCTACTAAGACCCTATCTCTCATCACATTCAAGTCTCTTGTCATGTTGTTGTTTGGGAACATATAAAATTTTCATCTTTGACTGACCTTTCCGCCCTTTCTCCTCCTTCACCTTCTATTTTTACAGTTACTTCTGTTGATTTTTTCCCCTAATAATTTAGATACTTTTGTTGATCTTTTTCCTAGTAACTCAGGTCCAGACACATTGACTGAGTTCATTCACACGCCCAATGCAACACCCACTCCACATAAGCCTACTGTCTCTAGTCCTCCTACACAGCTCATGTCTACAGAGCCCTTATTGTCTGACATCATCCGACCCACACATGTAAGATACCCCCTTCCTACCTTAATGATTACCATTGTCTTTCCACCATCCTCCAGTTTCAAGAACCCCAATTTTATAAAGAAGCCTCTCGTGATCCTCTTTAGCAACAAGCTATAAATGAAGAATTGCAGGCATTGGAGAAAATGCTTACTTGGGATCTTGTTGATCTTCCTCCTGGTAATACTCTGGTTGGGTGCAGATGGGTATACAAGAATAAGACTCACTCAGATGGCTCTCTCAAGCAGCAAAAGACACATTTAGTGGCCTGGGGATTCACTCAGGAGTATGGTATAGACTACGAGGAGACTTTTTCTCTTGTTGCTTGTATTACTTCTGTTCGTAGCCTTCTGGCTATTGCTGCTATTAAGCACTGGACTCTCTATCAAATGGATGTTAAGAATGCCTTCTTGAATGGTGATTTGGAGGAAGAAGTTTATATGAAGCCCCTTCCTGGGTATCCTCACCCATGAGATAAAGTTTGTCGTCTTTGTCAAGCCCTTTATGGACTTAAGCAGGCCCCTCGAGCTTGTTTTGTTAAGTTGAGTAGTATAATAAGCCATCTTGGCTTCCCTTATAGCCCTTATGACTCTGCCTTATTTGTTCAAAGTAGTAACCGAGGTATTGTTCTACTTCTCTTATATATTGATAATATGATTATCACAGGTAGTGATCTGGTAGGAGTTCATGAGTTTAAAACTTATTTAGAAGGACAATTTGAGATGAAAGATCCTTTTAGAAGGACAATTTGAGATGAAAGATCCTTTTAGAAGGACAATTTGAGATGAAAGATCTTGGAAGACTGAATTATTTTCTTGGTCTTGAGGTATATTATGGGAAGAGTGGTATCTCTCTTTCACAGGTCAAGTATGCCTCTGATTTGATATCTAGGACCTTGCTCACTGATGAAGCTGTTAAAAACACTCCCATTGGACCTAATGCTCATTTTGTTCCTACTGATGGGACTGTGTTAGAGAACCCAACACGTTACCAGCAATTAATTGGAGGACTCATCTATCTTACTATGACTTGTCCAGACATTACCTATGCAATTCACATTATTAGTCAATTCACGTCTGAGCCCCAAACCACTCATTATGCAGCCGTTCTCTGGATTCTTCAATATGTTAAAGGAACCTTGTATCATGGCCTTTATTTCTTTGCAAGGTCTTCTCTCATTTTACAGGCTTACACTGATGCTAATTGGGGAGGTGACCATGCCGATCATTGATCTACTACTGGGTTTTGTATATTTCTTGGGGACTCTCTTATCTCTTGGAAAAGTAAGAAACAAACTCTAGCCTCTCAATCTAGTACTAAGTCAGAATACCGCACATTAGCAGATACTACTGCTAAGGTTCTTTGGCTCCATTGGCTGCTTGATGATTTGGGAGCTTCCCAAACATCCTCCACTAATATATATTGTGATAGTCAAGCAGCTATTAAGATTGCCCACAATGATGTGTTCCATGAGTGCACAAAACATATTGAGATTGACTGTCATTTCACTTGGCAACATATTATTCGAGATACCATCAGACTTGTTTCTATTGGCACAAACCACCAACCAGTTGATTTGTTTACCAAATCTTTTAATTCTAGTCGCTTCCAGTTTTTAGTGAACAAACTCAAGCTGCTTTCTCTCAAGCCATTTTGAGTTTGAGGGGGGATGTTAAGATATTCTATTAATATTTTGTTAATATTGTGTTGATATGATTTTATTGATATGATTTGATTTATTTGATTAGTATTCATCTCTTGATTTATTATTAGGATTTATTATTCCTTTTTCTTATATATATATATATATATATATATATGTATGTATGTATTCATCTCATTCCAAAATATACAAATATTCATCTTCAATATTTTCTCTCTTTCTCTATTCTAACAATTCTTATCATTAGATCAATTTTAAATTTTGAATGGTTAAAATTTAATATCCTATAAAAATACTATTTTAATATTAAATAACAAAAACGTGTACAAATAAATTTAAATTATTAAAATTTGATTTAAATAGTTCACATCTTTACATTTTTATTAAAATTTTATACATTTTTTTTTACTTTTTATCAGATATTAAATCTCAATCAATCAAAGTTGATCTGATAGTGAGAATAATAAAGAAGTGGAGGGAAATGGACCATAAGAGAAGTTTGGTTCTCTTTCCCCAGATTTTGGGGGTCGATTTTTTCCTCAGCATAAATAGTATAACTCGATTCATTATTATATGACATTTTTAACTAGTTTATATAAATTAAGGAGTGATAATCAAGTCACTAAATCTGTTTTAAATTGTTAAATTTAACCATCTTTACTCCTATTAAAAATGTGGATTCATATTTTTTTTCCATCTTTATTATAGTTGAAAATGGCTTGAGAGGCCATCCCAAGTCATTCCACTTCCTTCTAAAAGCCTTTCCCAATCACCGACATGACCCTTATGGTATTCCATTCCATCATTTGACCCCAAAAAAAAAAAAAACTCAAACGCTATCAAATTGAAAGTTAAAGTTAATAATGAGTCAAAATATTATTAATTAAAGTTGTTTCCACAAACCAACAAAGATATCCATCAACAAGATTACAACTATGTCATTAATGATATGATTCAAAGGAGAACCATAAAACCCAGTGAACCCTACACATTCTCTGTCTCTGTTCCATCAGCATTCTCAGCTTCAGCAGCAGCAGGAGGAGGGATCTCTAATTCTAAGTCATCTTTGGGAGCATATAATATGAAATGTTGAACTATAAATGTAATGTCAAAAGCTACAGCAATCTGAAATTATCACATTAATTAAAGGACCATTAGCATTATTATTATTATTATTATTATTATTATTTCATTAATTGGATGGAGTGAAAGAATTTAATTAATTAATGATCCATACCAGAGACAAGATAATACTTTGCAAATCAATTGCACCCAACATAGTCCTAGAACCTGAGATTATTTTAGAATTTGTCACTAATTAAGATCATAAACTCAGAAAGCAAAATTATTCATGCTTTATATATATATATATATATATGACTACATGTAATCTCAAACTATACGAACCTTTATCTATGGATGTCAACGCGAGTTGAGTAAAGTTTACAACGTGTCCAAGAAGTTCCAGTATGTTAGTCCATATGTTCCATCCTTGTGTGCTTTTTCTCTTGTAATTCATCCAGGCCTGCACTTTTTTTTGTTTTTAATCAACCACCTGTTAATAGTTCTATAGCAGATTATGAACATGTTATATATTATGAACCCGAAATTGAATAAATCCTGACCTGGGGGACATATGTTATAACGGTCATCCCAATTAGAATACCACTGCAAAAATGGTTAATTTCAACATATATAATTAACAAGAAGGAAATAATCAAAACCCCAATGCATAAGGTCATTCATTTATGTAAGCCATAGGGATGTTCATCATGCTTGGTAACTTAGTTAGCTGATAACTCTCATTCATGAGTTTATTCCCCCCCCCCCAAAAAGGACAATTGGAATTATAAAATTCTAATAGAGAGTATATCTAAAAGAAATTGGTAAGGAAATTAAAACTATCAACTCCATTTCTTTTTTCTTTTTTTTTGAAATTGAACTCATTAAAATTGTTTCTCCCATTTCTTCCCCTCCTCCCCTCATGTCAATAGGGGTAAATAGACCTCATGCGGGTAAAATGGACGAGGCTCGTCAAACTACTCTAATAAGTCCAAGCATCGGAAATCCAGAGGTTTTTTGGACCAAGTTTTTTTTTCCCACCAGAATTTGGGCCAAGTATTGAAAATCAATAATTTTAACTATAAACCAACAAGAGCTACGTCCAGTGTAAAGGGCTACTTCCTTAAAATATAGGGAATTAAGATTCAAATCCTTACTGAGAGATATGTTCACATTTATTACACAACAGTATCTCAAATATAATTGTCTCCAATAAGAAAATACCTATATTTTAGCAGGAAAAAAAAAACTATAAGAGGGTTTTTGGACCTGGTCTTGATAAGCCTGAAAAAGAGAAAAGAAGGAAAAAAGAGGGCTCATGCTCAAGCTAGCCCGTAAACCGATTTTTAATTTTTTAACATATTTTAATTTTTTGTATGGCTAAAATACATGAAATACCTCTTCAGTTTCGGGTCAGTTGCACGTTACCTCCCTAGCCTTTAAAAGTTTAAATTAAGAACCCTGATATTTCATGTTTTGACTATGAATTCCCGTGCTGTTAAAATCACTAATAACTTTAACTGTTTTTGTCATGTTACAATTTTTGAACTTTTTATTATATATCATATCAATTAAAAAATAAAAATTATCGTTTGACATGTAATTTTAAATATTTTATACTTTTTTATTTTAAAAAGCATAGTCAGATAAATATTTTAAATATTCTTTAAAGTATTTCTTATTTTTAGTTTTGATTTTAATTTTTTAGAAAAAATTTCAAATTTCATGTCAAATGTCAAATATTATTTTTTAATTGATATGGTATATAATAAAATATATAAAACTGTGACGCAGCAAAATTCGTTAAGTTAACGGTAATTTTAAAAGTAGGAAAGTTTATCATCAAAGAATGAAACATCGAGGTTCTTAATTAAAATTTTTAAAGTTTAGGAAGGTTATGTGCATTTGATCCAAAGTTCAGAGGAGTTTTGTGTATTTTAGCTTCTTTTTTTTAAACTAATGTAGATAAATGATACAATTTGTTAGCATCTCCTTCTTCAACAAGTGGTCTGATGTTTGAAGAGCTTTTTATTTTTGGATGATGAAAGAATATTTAATTTTAAATTTGAAAGTTGGACTTTAACATCATGTTGTCCTACTTGTATTTGTACTATTTAGTTTGGAACTTAATTTGATCCTCTAGACATTTAGTTTTAGTCCTTTAGAGTTTATATATATTATGATAATCAGACACTTTTTTAAAAATATATATATATTTGGGCTTCTGTGTTCCGCCCTGGGCGTACTTTATTAGGGTCCGGCTTGAAAAAATATCCAGATTTTAACATAAAAAAGTCTTATGGGCCTAAGTTTATATGGGCCAAGCTGAACTGTTAGACGTAATTATTCATTAAATGTATTCTAGTTCAGCCCAAATCAAATGTCTTTTTTTTTTTATTGGTTACCCAGAGTATCCTCCTACCTGAATGGTAAGAGGCTAATCTCTTGAGGTACTGTCAAACACCGTAGTGGGAGCCCCTCCCAACAATGTTTGTTTCACATACACCAACCCAAAGATTGAACCCAAGACATGATGTTTAAATGCTCAAGCCAAGATAAAATGTTGAATGTGTATTATTTTGTTTGAGTTTGATTGGGCACAAGGTCAATCAGGTCTGGCCAATTCCGCCCATGATTATTGTAAAGCCGTTTTCCTACACATGCAACTGAAAAAACAAATAAAAGATTGGATTTAGTAGAAAAAGCTAATCTCTCACAATCTAGTGAATTAAGGTTTAAATTCCTGTTAGGAAAGGTGTCTATATTTAATACCTAATACTCCCTGAATAAGATTCTCTCCAATACTTATTGCGTAGGAAAGAAGAAAAATAATGCCAGGAGAAAACAAAATAGTTAAGAAAACAAAACATACTTGAACATTAAGAAAAACCAAAGCCATAGATGTTGAGGCAGAGCTATGAAGAAGAAGCCTCCCACAATTGACCAAGAAGTAAACACAAGATTCAAAGTATTTGCGGAAAATTTCTGATTTCCCCTCTAAAATAACAAACCATAAAAAAGAAATTTCATCAGTGACAATATAGAAAATTTGAAGTTCAAAAACCTAAGTAAAAAAACAAAAAGAAAAGAAAAACAGAGGATATGTGGTGCTAACTTCATAGATTGCAGTTTGGAACAAGCAGGTCGCTGTGATCAGAACAGCATGAATTGAGAAAGCAACACGAGTTGCCACTGCAAATATCCTCTGAATCATACAGAAGAAAATGGAGAATGTTTTTTAAATATCAAAATTCTAAGCTTTGATTTAGCATTTAAAGGTGGGAAATGCAAAATACTAACCTCTCTGAGACTGTGTATGCTCTTGTACTGCTGCTGAAGTGGGGCGCTGAAGAACAGAGATGTATCGAATAACAAATACATGGTTTGCGTAGAAAAGTTCAGCAGCACAAAATCAATGCTTAAACCCACAACACTGAAACACAAGTAACCCATAGGGGAAGGCACATTAAAATGGTAAAAATAAAAAGAATGAAGGAAGAAGTTGA